AATGCGCGGCAGCGACCCCGTTAAAAAAAAGAGTTGACGAGTGCTCGGAGGGTGGTAATTTTTCATTAATTTAAGTTCACCATTCCCTGTTTTGTTTGCTTTTAATCGCATTTCTAATTAATCCCGTCGAGAATAACGTGACAACTGTCGACTATGGCAGCCATTTTTTCGAGCCGAGTATAGCAGATGTCGGCCGATTTCCATTTGTTTCTGAGATTAATGATTCGGTACGATTGTGAATTTTTCCGGTCGGCTTTTGTTGTTTTAGAAGCAATTTGTCCGCTTACTTTTGTAGAGAGGCAGTCGTTAAAGCCTCCACAAATGATATTGGAACGGAATAAAAAAGTTGCGACAAAAAGGGTTTCACGTATTCGATTCCAGTTGCATGTCAACGGACACTGGTTGATGAAAACGAATTCATTCCAACACCTAAATTAATATCGAGGCTTTGGTTTGTAACGTATCGACCTCACAATCACTAATCGGAAATTGATTAGTATTAAGTTTTTTTTCCTTCGTTCTGGTTTCATTTACTCCAACAACAACTACAAAGCATCATATAAAAATAAATACCATACAACAATCATCAAAGCACTATATCTAAAGAGATAGCAACCCTGAAAGTATGAAACTTATAATTAATGCTTACAAAAATCTATTCCAAAATTCTCTAGCACCGAAACCATATACCATTACAAATACTCGTACCAATAATTATAATAACTCATCGAAAACAAAAAACGTTGACAAAAATATTGAACAAAAATTGTTTGATTTCCACTCCCTACGGAACTATACTCAATAATGCAAGAACTGACGCCCGTTTATACCACATAAGCAACACCTAGTATTAAAAACCTACCATCCGTAACTGACTGCTACTAGTCGTAGGTCGTGGTGTCATTTCCACTTACTGTTGACTCGTACTTGTATTTAGTTTTGATTGAACTGTACTGTCTAGTAGCAGATGGTATTATCGGAAAGAAATTTTAAAGTAATATGTTATAAAGGCTGTTTTAGATTGAAGTCGTAGGATGATTGGCACGACGTTTTCTATCTTCTACTTTTGGTTGTCTAAAAGTATAACCTTATCTTTTGACTTTCTTAGTATGAAATCTTAGGAATATTAGATAAACTGTTTCGTATATAATTTCCATTTTTAGTCTTGACTGTTGCTCTTCTCTGTTTGGAGCTAATACCTTGATTAATGAAATTTAGGCGTCATAATGCTTTTGAATCACTTCATTTCCTGCTAAGATATCTTAGGTAAGAAAAGCGTTAGTCTCCGTTTGCATGCCAAATAAAAAAACTTGGCTACAATGCTTCTTTTACAAAAGATGGGAAACCAAGACAAAGCCAAGCAAATAAATACCTCATTACAAATTAAGAACGAAGGAAGGAAGATCACAAATCGTTTTAATATCGGCGCAGTTAGTAAGGCTCGCCTTTATAGTGTAGTACTATAAGTGTCTGGTGCCTGTAAATTTTCGCAGTGGCGATCTGTGGCCGGTCTTTGTGCTATTAATTTGTAATGTCCCCCCTCTAGCCGCCTAGATGCATAGCCCGGGTGTACGTGAGAGCGTATGGGGGGATAAGTCGACAGCTACCGGTTAAGGTTTTGAGTGCGTAGGCTTCGTTACTAAGTGATGTATCTGTTTGAAGTTTGAGATCAATGGGTTTGTGTCTTTAGTTTCTTAATTGAATTTGAATTTTGTTTTTACAATTAGTTGGTTGGTTTTGGGTGGACAGATGTTTTGGTTATTGTTGCCAGATGATGATGTAATAGAAAAGAAGTAGCCAGCTTAGAAACTTTTCTTGGAAAAAGTTTCTCATCAAATATTTCTTTCAAGCAAAACTTTCAAGTTTCACGCCACAGACACTCATATCAAAGATCGACACATCGTCCCCCAACGCCTACCGATGACACGCAACATATTCCAAATCTTCAGACATGTCGTCGTTTTAGTACATCGTACTGAGCCTTTGCCGATCTTCAATGGGGGCCCGCGTTTCCGATAGGATTAAGCCAGACTTACTGCTCGGTCAGGAACACGGCGCGACGCAGTAACCCTCCCCTCCCCGCACCCCGAGCCACACACCCTACAGCCTAACCTCACCCCCGCACTCGCCCGCCGCATTAGGAGCAATCATATTCGACGGCTGCTAGGTTTTGGCATCGGTCTGTGTTGCTTAGCCTCCGCCAGCTATTTGTGGAACAATCATTGGTCTTGTCTTAGTTTGTAATATCGTTTTCGTCTATTTTTATTGTGATTGATTAAAAGTTTACTTCTCAAGAGTTTCTGAACTATCCTAGTATCGCCTACCACTTAATAATACAGCTCTTTGGCTGTCTAAAGTCAAGGTGTGACTTGTTAAGCCAAGGCTACCTAAAAGCCTGAGCTTTGTGCGTGTTTATTACTTACGTTCAAAGGTTTCTTGTGTGCCATGTGGTTGTTTGTCAACCAGCCTTTCTGTCCGCGTAAGGCGAAGGGAAGAGCCTAAAGGATACTGCCTTGATTATCTTGCCTAGACATATCTTGTTTACCGTCTAACTTGAATATCCTAACTATGAGAGTTCTAAAATAGATTGGCTCTATTAAAATTAATTCATGTTAGATTGTCTTAAAATAGCTTGTTCCGATTTGATGTTTTACTGCCTAAACGGTATAGGAATTGAACAAGTAAAGAGAGGATAAGATGGTAGTAGGAATGGTTAAATTATCAAAGATATCAATAGTAATAATGAAAATAGTTACACTATCACGAACATTTTTGAAGCTAACTAGACTTTTTGAAAAAGAAAATCAGTACAAAATCACAAGTTTATTACCAGAAACATACCTGTCTCATTATTAATTGGAAAACTTAAAAACCAACTTTAAAATACTTTACACAAAGTATAAAACCAGTTCTTTTATAAACTACGTTAAAAAAACCAGTTTCAAGCCCCTCGTTTTTGAAATCGGTTAATTAATATATTAAAACGTTCTCCTAAATATAACAAACACTTTTCTGAACACTGTATCAAAATTGGTTTAACCAATTGCGAGATAATCGCCCTCAAATATACATACATACATACAACTCAGACTGAGAACCTCCTTGTCTTTTGAAGTCGGTTAATAAATCTGAATGAATTTGATCCCAACTCTCCTCATTCACCATCACCATACAATCATCCATTCATACAATACATGTCTATATGTCTGTCTGTATGTTTGTATATATGTACAAGTTGACATTCCGTTACACGCTGCTGACTCACATGCTAACTAAATAGTCCGCGGGTTCGACAGGTCTAGTCGATGGTAAATATTTTGAAAAACTATTGCAGGTGTCAATGTGGGGCAATCCCTAACTATCTATCAGGACGGATGTACAGGACGAACAAACATTGGTTTGTTCGTCCTGTATAGAATTTGATTAAGAAAATTGTATAATTAGATTTGTAATTAGAGAAGCTTATTGGTTGATTGTTGAATATGATAGTTTGAGTTCGATCTTCAATTCAAATAAAGTATCATCAGGTTTTTATTTACAATTACAGTCCATATGCAAGTAAAAAAGTGTGGGAGGGCCAGGCTTTAGCGCGATCGGGCCGGCTCGACCGGAGTGATACCACGGCCAAAAAACTAACGTGAAACAACTCTTGCATTGTGTTTCGTCATGCTAGTGAGGTTATTGGGCCAAATTACCAATCTCCCCAATCCCTGAATCCCCAACAATCCTCAAATTCATAATCCCCAAAAGGCCGGTAAGGCACTTGTAACGCCTCTGGTGTTCCGGGTGTCTATATGTGACTACGATTGCATACCATTGCCATACCGTACCATCCGTCTGCTCGTTTACCGACTTAGCCGATACAAAAATGTAACTTTATCTATTAAAATGTGTCTTATTAAACCAAAGTTAAGGTTAATTATAAAAAAAATGTTTAATTTTACTACGTTCCTGGAAAACGTCAAGCATAAACCTATCTAACCCATAAAATATCTTACTAAACTACATGTAAATAAACATATACATCAAAATTACTCAGTATTTGTTCACGACTCCCTAATGCGTTTCCAAGTATTAAAGCGTAGGCTAATACAGAACTGTATGAAACTACTACAAACATTTTGATCTCTCTATTCTAGGTATTAGGTATTTCTAGTAATTTATTAATTTTAACCACATCACTAAACCTCTTTGGTAACATCTCTATTATACCGAGTTTAGCATTGTTTAAATTAGCGTTTTCTAATTCAAACGATGAAGCTTTTTTTGAGGCTGACTATTTATCTTAGACAGGCATATATCGACCGGATTGGCGATATATTAGAGAAATGGGTCTAATTAAAGTACTGCTAACCGACGAGCATGCATAAAAATATGTACCTATTGGTGTTCCATAAGCTTTGCCTAACTCCATGGGAGACAGGCCTGAGGTTATGTATGTATGTATATCCAAGTATGACACGTAAGTACGTTAGCGGGTTGGAGATCGCAAAATAAAAACAAAACACGACCAAAATTCTTTGCTCACTATTAACTGCTATGCAATTCTGTAACTGTCAATTTGAATTTTCGAAATAAGTTCGATCGCATTCTCGCCCGTCATTGGTCGAGATTATTCTCACAACCAATGGCATGGCCGCGATTGAGTTTATTTCCTTCGAATTGAAAGTTACAAAGCGTAGCCGAGCTGATTCACAAATCATAATGTTCCATAGAATAAATCATTGATACATTGTAAGTATTCATGAATGAAGTTTACAGTACTTAAACATGGATATATTTACACACGTATACCTACTTACTAAAACAGTTAAAACAACTAAATAAATCCACCTCGAGATACCTAGAACCAGCCATTTTGAATTACAAACTAGAAATTCTTGTACTAAAAGTTGATCTAATTAATCTAGTTCAAGTTTGACTCGTAAGTTTAGTGATTACAAGCGGTTGTCCAATACGAATTTCCAATACTACGGTGTGAGAGCCATGCTTCGGCTCGAATGGGCTGGCTCGACCGGAGTGATACCACGGCCTTACAGAAAACCGACGTGAAACAACGATTGCGTTGTGTTTCGTCGTGTGAGGAAGGTTACCGGAGGCCCTATTACCCCCCTCCCTAGTCTTCCGAATCCCCGAATCCTCCACAATCCTCAAATTCCCGATTTCCAAAAGGCCGGTAACACATTTGTAATGCCTTACCATCAGGTGATCAGGCTGCACGTTTACTATATGCTATAAAAAAAACTGTTTCAAAAACAATGAAAACCTCACCTCTTTCCGTCCATGTTTTTCGGTTCTTAAGAGACGCAATATCAAATAAAATTGATCTACTACTCTTTTTTTAAAGGAGGAAAATCATCCAATGACTTCTCTCACCTTGGGAGAAGATGAAGTAGTAAGAAGGTAGAATCTACCATTTTACTACTAACTTCTTCATCTGCTTACTGTGTTACTTCTTCTTGTCATAAAGTATCTTGAAATTTCCACAATTTATTTATAATCATCTTCTTTTCCATTCTCTGCTACCAGACCTCATCTTTTTCTTTCCTTCACACAATTTATCTTCTTTGTATGTTATTGTTCTTTGTATGGTCGAAATTAATAACCTTACTAAGTAACACCCACTTTTCACCATTTACGTTATGAGTCCCATGTAATAGGGGGTGAGCCTATTGCCATGTACCGGGAACAATGTCAGACTTCATGCTACCATTTAGAATTTTTTAAAACCCAGTAGTACTTTGCCCGACCCGGGAATAGAACCCGAGACCCCTTGCCCGGCAATCGCACTTGCGACCACTCGGCCAATAAGATCAGTTATGTCAGCCGTTAACCATACTCTTCTTTTCTACCCTTCCACTTTCAAATGCTTAATATTATTCTCATTTCGTCTCATTTTCTTAGGCCCAATAAAAAGGATTTGTACGCAATATACCAATATAATTACTTACCCACCTCAGTGTAAAGCCGGTTGCAGATAATCGGTACTATGTCACCTACACACGGTATTATTCCCATAAGATATCGGATCAGCATATCTTGTGCTGGGAATTTACTCTCCGATTGTAATTAAACGGAAAATATTTAGTTTAGTGTGTACTGGTAATGTAGCTCAGCTGTTAAGGTAAATTGTAATTTAGTTGTATATGATATAGTGGACTGTTCTTTAAACTGTCAAACACCAAGCGGTCACCGGTGACCGCGACCTATTGTTCTTTAATTGTGTCTATAAAACCGGTACTCGACGAGTTAAAATTAAGAATGAAGCCTATAAGCCTGAAACAAATAATTCTCAAAATTTTCTAATGCTTTATATTCATAAAGCATATTTATAAAGTCTAATGTCGATGTTGTCGAGAATAATGTCGTTTTCTTTTAGTACTACTATAGATAATAGTATTCACAAAATAACTAAAAAGTGTAATGAAGCCAAACTCTAAAATTAAAAACCAATCGATTAATTAAAAACAGCATCAAACTCATAGAACACAATTCGAAATACAATTTCAAATGCCGAAAAGAATCAACGGCAGCAAAAAAAAAACCAACATTCGAAAAAAGAACTCGCTAACCCTAAAGCAACAAACAAACCGTTTCGTTCTTCCAACGCCATAATAATCCGTCCTTCAATTGACTCGCGATACCCAAACAGCTGATACACTTTTTCTTCTTCCTACCCGGTACACAATGCAAATACCACCGTGTTGCTCACATTGTAAGGTCGATATTCGTATAAACACATGGGTCCCGGACGAAAGAGGGAACAAAGGAGACGGGACCACGTATCTTGACCTATTTGTGTCGTGCGATTGGTGTAGGTCGTGTTTACTATGTCTGGAAAGAGTTTTTAGAAGGTTAGGAGTTTTTGAGGTTATGTATTTTGTCAGTGGATAATGTTTTTTTTTTAATTTGTAGTGTAGAACGTGTTGTGCAATGGAATAGTAAGGCGTAATAAGCATCTAAGTGGATGAATTCTTAACAAAATAATTGAGAAATTCTTGGGTTTATTTGATTTGCTTTTTGTATTATGTGGATAAAATCTATAGGATAGAGTTTTAAATGATAGATAAATTCACGGCAGTTGTGAGCTTACTTATATCGATTACTAACAACTTCAAAGCGTATAAAAATAGTTAACATTTGTCAATACATACAAAACAAAAAAAGACCAGTAGCATTCTATATCAATTAAAGAAAGACGTCCAACTTAAAAACATAAATGACAAACTACAGTCCCTTTTATTATGTTTACAGACGAGTCGGGATGCGAGGCTGATATGCTGGAGGGCGCGGAGGTGGGACGGCACTCGCCGCCCCGGCCGCAGCAAGAGCCCATCAACCTCAAGAATGAGGTGAGTACTACTACATGACACCCTTACAACCTAAAATGTAGAAGTGAGACTAAAACTTGATAGTAACTTAAGGGTCAGGTCATATTAGAAGTGATGCTTAATAAAAGGAAGAATTAATAGTGAAATAATGTATGATGTTATAACAAGAATGAGATTAGTTAGTACTACTACATTATACGTTTACTTACAAACTTAGATCTACCTCTAGAAGTGCGACTAACACTTGATAGTGTTGGAAAGAGACAGGTCATAATAAAAGAAAGGGACAGGTCATAATTGAAGTGGGACTTCATAGTGCATCTTAAAGGAGGATGGTCAAAGAAAAATGAGTTAAATTGGGTAGTAATTTAGGTATATCGTCGTATAAAAAAATAGGAATGTCGAGAATAAATAAGTACTGTGATAATATCGTCTTCTTTGAACTTAAAATTAAAAAAATCTCGTAAACATTTTTCAATAAGCAGTTTTTAGTTACATATTAAAACTTCGTATTTCCAATTTAAAATTAAATCGTTTTCCAATATTTTAGGCTGAATGAAAACGGTTAAACTTTCATAAAATTACTTTGAGGAATTGTTATTAACTATTTCTGTAATCTGTAAATAGAAAATTCTCGAAAAAAGTCCCCTCCGCTGTCGGTAGCAGCCCTGTTCGTAGTTGCCCCAACACTGGGTTAGTGGGACGAATCGCCAATGTGCTACATTTATTTTAGCTCTAATGTTGGGATAAAGAAGTCTGTATATTTTTTGTATCTTGTAAAGGTATTATTCGTCGTTTAGTCTTTAAATAAATTCAAATATCAGGTGACAGTTCCAATAAGTATATTATGTTTGCTAACTTATTGAAAAATTCTTACCGCAAAACAAGATGTTTAAGACCTTTTCTCATACATAGCTTTTAAATCAATTGTTGTTGACATACAAAACCAGCTGATTTATTTTCGTCCAAACACCTCCAAGTTCTACTCTGGCGTACTTTCCAAAAACAAAGCTGTCAAGCTCGCCGCTGCTACTTAACTAACACGTGGGCTTTAAATTGAAAACGCGGACAAAGTTGAGTGCGAATAAACGCGCTCGATCCTCAAGTGGCAGCTCGGTTCGCCAAAAAGACGACGACATCCCCTAGCTCAAAAGGTCCTCGCAAAGACTAAACATTCGTCGCTTCGTTAGTGCCCCGCGAAAAAATCGCCATGCGATTCGACGCCGACCAATCTGCTCCGCACTGCCGCAACCTACTTGCCTCAGAATCTATAGTATCGATTAGTGAGCGCTTTTTTACCCACACGCACTCACACACCGCCGCGGCGGGGCCAGCCTTTTTAACAATCTTTTTTTCGTCCACCCCTCTCCCCCAAAACCGCCATGTCCATTGCGCGGATGCAAAGACCACCCCTCTCGCCCCACCCCTCATATAGCAGCATTGAAAATGGAATTTCCATGAGTGATGGAGTGTCAAACGGGAAGTGAAAAAACGGAGAAAAAGTACATTATGTTAATTATTGAACGCGTGCTCCGTCCGAGTTTAAATTGAATGTCATGTCGTACGCGTCCGTCGCGTCGTCGTGTCGTGGAAACGCACGCTTTTACTCTTCTATTCCGTTTCGTGTGTACGGTATAATTTTTAATTTTTATTCTCTGTTCGTGCTAAATTAATAATCGCACATGTCGAAATTCAGACAACCCGTATATTTTGTATGTAGCGAATTTTTAACAAAACTCGATTGGTAACTTTTGGCTCGAACACGTGGACTTAGCGGAACCATATTATTAGGTGTAATCAAAATTGAACTCTATTTACGCGCCGGTATAGCTGTTAATGCTAGTTCTGTGGTGGAGCTAAACGCCGGTAGCTAGAATGACTTTTATTTTCATTCACTAAGTACGGGAAGACAATGTGTACACTAGTAATCTTTTCCACTAACTTTGTCTACACTTTAGTTCTTGTTTACTTCGCATGAGTTCTCTGAACTTTGAAATCATGAATGAAGTATGGCATTTCTTAAGATCTGAGACGTTTCTTGTTCTTATCTTAGAATTTAACGATTTTCAGAACTGTTCGTGGAGTACTATGATTATATTGTTAACTTATTAAGTATATGTACATCTCAGAATATCTTCTGAGCTAACTACAAGTTTCGTGATATTGAGCTAGAATTACATTAAAACTAATATGTGTTATGAAACAATAACACAGAGAACGCTTGCTCTGTTTAACTTTTAATGAAATCTACTATCTAAGCGAGCATTGCACAAAAAGACCGGACAAAGCACTTATTCACCGGACAACACGAACTATTCGGACAGTCGCATTGCTAATGGAAAATCCCGAAAAAATATTGGCGGTGAAAAAAATAGTTTAAAAAATCGTCGAGCATATTTGAATGAAAATTGGGTGGTGAAGGGGTGGCGCGCGCGGCCGCCGATCGCCTATTATTATTATTATTACTTGCATTATATCTGCATTTTTTTCACGCACACAGACGCGGCCGCGCACGCCATTTTTATTTTTTTCTTCCTTTTTTCTTTTTTTCGGGAAATCGACGGGGGCGCGGCGCCCCCACACATGGGCCGCGCTCGCAGCTCGTGCTCACCAGAATCGAACTATGCGATGTCTACAAGTGGACGAACATTTAAATTGGCTCTCATCAAATATTGACTGCGTGTAGTTTTTTCATTAACCATTCGGCTTTTTGTGAGGTACGCTGGCGGCCACGTCGGTTGCCGTTCAATTTGTATCTACTTCCTTTGAGCAGGTACGAGAGTGCACCATAAGTTGTTTTTAGTGTCAATTAATATTTTTCAAGTGCTTCAATTCGCTACTATCAGTTTTCTGATTTAGTTTTCACTATGTTTGCTTACATGATTAGCTTAAGCAATTTGAACCTTTTATTGCTTTAGTCGCTACTTGATTAAATTTTAATGTATAATTTGCTCTCAATGGTCTTAAATTTGAGTAACATTTACTTATAGTAACAAAAATACAGTCCAACAAATAATTTTCCGGGAACCCTAATCCCAATAGAATAAAAAAGCGGTAACATATTTTAAACTAGTAACAGTGGGTCGCCGTAATTAATCATTCGTATGATTTGATGGCACACGAATATCCCATACCATGTCAGTTTTATCAAAATGTTTTAATAAAATCGCAACAGGTAGGGGTGTGTTTGTTGAGAAAACATCAAGTGTTTGGATTTGGTCCTTCTTGCTTAGGCAATTAGTTCACTTTCTGTATTCACAACTTTCAGAAAGACCAACTAACCTATATTTGGATTTCACTATCGTAATTACCTAAATTGTCATTTAGATGTTGGTCCTTTTTAGAGGTAGTTTCTTAAACATCGTCAATCTTTATCTCATTCCTAACTTTAGATATAAAGGAACGAAGCTTGAAGAAACGCTTATTGATTAAACAATCTTATTCTTTCATGTTTTCTGGGCTGATTGCCAAAAGTTACAAAAACTGGTCCTTTGCTCCTTAAAATCCGCGGTCTTTCCATCTTTTGATACCGTTTCATTTTCTTTTAAAAACCATTTTACGTTGACCTGTCGTTTCCGCCGTCTGATTCGATTGTTCGGATTTTGGAAATTATTCTTGAGTTATTTCATGAGGTAATTGTATGATTTCGTTATGTGAAGGAAGGTTCAAAGACATGTTGTCCTGTATTCAATAAAGAAGTTCGTATGCTTTATCATATTTGCAATCAACATGAAAATCAAGTTGATTAAGTCCTTAATTACTTCAATACAACAATATAAAACCCCATTACAAAAGAAACTCATCAATACTTAATAAAAATTATAATAAGACGCAAAATAATGTATGGAGCTCGTAGAACAACGGACGACACTGCAGTCAGGCGAATTTATTATCATTAAAAAATGCAAAAAATCATAATTAAAGGGGTGGGTTTGGGGTGCATCCCATTTTTTATTTTAATTGGCTTGTAAATTACAAAAGTTATAGTGAAAACGTTGGGACCATTTTTTCGGTATCATTATGCGGTTGGAAATTTTGTCGCTTATGAAGGTGAAATAATAATGTATTACTATGGTAATAATGGCGGCTGATTAAATAAGTTACGTCGCCTACTGTTTGGGTTGAAATTCTGTTTGAGTTTGTGATTTTAGCTAAGTATTTTGGTTTAAGTGTTTTATTTAGTTTGAACGATTTATGGAAAGGGGGATGGGTGTGAAAATAGTGATTATAATGGTTTTTTAGTGGTAGTCATAATTATATTGTGGTTTTCTAACTCTAAAGGCTAAAGGCTACTCAATTTTAGGTTTACTTAAATGTCGTGCCAATTTACAAATAATTGGTAATGACAAAACTATATTTAAGTGTGACCTAAACTTTATTGGAGTTTAAGTATTACGATATAAGCTAGATTAGTCACAGTTTCTAAGATACAACAACGTGAAATTTAGGGGCATGTTCTGATACGGGCTGTTTGGATAAGCCCATTCATTAAAGACATAGCAAAAAGCTCTCTTGAACAAAATCTTAACTTAGACATGTATTAAAATAATGCTAATAAACACTATCATATAAAATGTTCCTTCTTTGGAACACAAAGTCTACAAACAGCGTTAGATTAAGCATCACTTCTCACGTCATAAAATAATATCCTACGCATAAACCCATCGGCTTCTCACCAAATGGTTATCCACGAACTTTGCAAAAATATCCTACAACCAGTAAAAACAAAACAAAACGTTATTGACCAAGAAATAAAGTTCAAAATTGCATCAAAATTAATATTGACAGCGGTAAATACGGCGTAGCGCCTCCGAAGCTAGGGTTGCTACAAATATAAATCTCGGCGTCGCAGCCGCGGCCAGGGCTGCCCACGGAGGACGGACGTGATTGATCAAAGTCGTTTGTCAGGCTCGCGTCGCGACTGTTGGTAGCCCTGTGCAATTAGCACATGATTCTGGGCGTCTAATGCACGAATTTGGTTTTAATTATGGAATGGTGTTGCCATGGAATCTGTGCGTTCCATTATTCGAACTAGTATCGCTTGTTGTTCAAATCTGACCTATTACGTGTTCAGATAAGAAGATTACGAATTGTGTAAATGAATGTCTGAGTCCTTCCACGTTGAAAATTGAAATTCATTCGAACAAATGTTCTAGTGTTCATTCGTGATGTGTATAGAGATCTTAATGAAGTAGGACGTGAGTAAAGGAACCTAAACTTTTTTAAGGACCAATACGTCGGTGCTCTGAAATATTAAGATGCAATATCGCACTTTAAATCGTTAAAATCCTTTATAAAAACTGCAACTATAAGTAGGAAAACTCAAAATAAATTTGGGAAAGAAAATGCACTGAATCTGCTGATAGCGAATGAAAGCAGAAGAAAAGTTAGACTTTAGAAGCAAAATACAAGAAAAATCGAATTTCTTAAGAAACGCTGTATGAAGGATTACTTAAAATTATGTGTAGGTAATTATTATGTTTTTGAATTTCTCATGTAACTTTTTGACGAGGAACTCGAACAGTTTCAAGCCAAGCTAAAGGCTCATATTCATGAGCATTCCACGACACGCAAAGGGGCGACTGTCGCGCTACTACTGTTAAAATTTGCGGTACTGTGAAATTCTGCCCATGAATATGAGCCTCTAGCATGGTTTGAAACTAGTCGAGTCACTCGTCAAATAATTTCGTGAGTAAGCCGAAAACATAATAATTAATTTAGAATGTCTTACGAAAATTTCAATATGTGTAGGTAAATAAAACTTACCGTACCTAGATGAAACCTATGTGAAACTTTTTATTGGAATTCATTTACGCACTAACAATGAATGACTCCTTGAATTTAAAAAAATCTCAAATAATTATGATTGAACGTTAAAAAAATACTGAAACTTAGTAAGCGTACAGAGTTTGGGGTCGCAAGCGCTCTTGATGTATGCTGTTGGTCCAATAATTGTTGTTATCGAAATATCGGATTGAGGAAGCTCCTAATAAAAGATTTTAGTTACTATGTGGTTCTGCATAGTGTTTAATATTGCCTACCTTACTATAAACCTATAAAAAAACACTGAAAAGTCCACGTTTTCTTTTTTTTTTAGAAAAATAATTATGTTGTCTTCTAATCGATTGATTATATCAAGGCTCTTTGTTCAATACGACTATAAACAGTTAATAAATATGTATTTTAAATTATAAACAATTAAAATTAAATAGCCTTCTTTAATTTAATAGATTTGATATTTATTGGCAATATATTGTGTGCTTACACGTATTGATAGTATTTCTATACTTAATTGGTAAGTAAAATATTAGTTACTAGCTTTTACCCACCGCGGCTTTGCCTGCGTATTCCTATTTTATCCCATGAGAGTATTTAATCGGTATAAAAATTATCCTATCACCTTTTACCCAGTCAGCCGATACCTTGCCTGTGTACCAAATTTAATGAAAATATTCAGTAGTTTCAGCGTGATTGACAGAGAAACGTCCAAACAAATAAACTTTCACTTTTATAATATTAGTTGAAGAAGCCAGAATCTAGCGTTAAAGTTTAAGTTTTTATAATAACTATCGTGAGACATACTAAATTAACTATAATCGCGGGTTACTCACGTGAATATACTGAGAAAAGCTCTACTAGTTTCGAACTACAGAGGGGTTCTTCTCATGAGCAGCGTGCGCGGTCGCGGCGACGTCGCACAGCTCACTTTCTCAGTATATTCACGTGAGTAACCCGCGATTTTAGTTAATTAAAGCTTAAGGCTTCTAAATTATATTTCTTTCTATAAAGAAATCCTATATAGAAATATAGAAAAACAATAAAAATAAACTAATAATATAGAAAGAAAGAGTATATCCTCCTTTCGTCCATTGCTTTTGGAGATTAGATTAATAAAACTACCAAACAACCTTTAAGAGTGGCGCTTCAAAGCCAGCAACACTCTTGAAACCCCTCCGGTGGTAGACGGCGCTGATCGCTTACCATCAGATGATTCATACACTCATTTACTTCTTATCCCATAAGAAACCGCTCTTAGTCATAATTTTTGTCGCGGAGAACCTAACGGGTAACCGGGGCTCCGGCTCGACGTGCAGGAGAAGGAACAGGGTGGTTTTTAGTCAGTAAGAGTCTGACACTCCCTTCCGCCTCACCCAGGCGGGAGCAGTCATTCGATGATTTTCCCCCCTTAAAAAAAAAAGTCATAATTTTTGTAGCCATTGTAAGAAATCCTATGCTGTCACAAACTATGTGCAAACTAAAGTATCGTACCATATGCAAATATAATTCCGACAGGGAATTTAGATGTCTAAAAATAGCGGCTATAGTCTATTCTTTAGAAGAAAGCATGAAGTTCAATCAAAGCTAAGCTTCGTAGCAAGACAATAACAAACTTACGTAGTGAATAGAGACAGTGATAAAACAATAACTGTTACATTATATAAACATTACAAAAATACCGACCACAAGATAATTCACACAACTTTTATGATCTTTATAACAGAAATCCAATTAAGTATGAATGAATATTCAAAATAGTTTATGGCGGCAACGCGTCGATCAAATAATAGCGGAATAGTATTAAGTTTATGTTATATCTTCGGCCTATGAGATCTGATGCAAAGTGCGCGTAGATATGCAAGCGAACGCACGCCCTCGCACTTAATAATGCGAGAAGAAAAAAAATACGCAATAAACATTTTAAAAAGGGAGATGTTCCAACATTACAAACGTATTAAAATGCGAAATCACGTACATTACAACCAGTTTCGATACTTTTTTTTTTCAATACACTTATAAATTCGAACAGCGGAACGCGTGGAGTGTCTCGATTGTATTATTTTCATTTTTATATTAATATTATTATTTTTTGTTGCTGTAATTGTTTTTTGATCATGTTTGCTTGAAGTAACTGCTCGGGATATCGCGTTTTGTATCGGCGTTTTTTAATTAAATTCCCTGTTACGTTGCGGTGCTAAGTTTAATTAAATTATGAAGTAGCAATTGCTGATCGTTTATTTGATATCGCGTGCGGTGTTTTTTGTTTCGTTGGACATGTTTAGTGTTTAGGAATCTCTATTGGCTTCTGTCCCGTAATGTCAGCGGTCCGCATTAAAATTAATGGAAACACTGCTTAATGGTCGGTTCTAATCCTGTATTTATTTACAATTTTCATTTTTATTGAATGTTTCTGATATAAAAGATAACATAGCTTTTAATTCGACTCTGTATTTTGTTGTTTATTATGGAATGGTTTCAAAGGTGTCTACCTACGTTCTAAATAATATTTATAGGTCAAACATCATGTTCATATATCATTATTATGTATAGTTAAAAACTGCAAACATTGAAACGTAGGGCGAACAGAAAACAGAACTCGATAACGAACGATATCCGTCAAAACAACTGGCAACACCACCATCCTATTACACACACAAAAGAGATAAATTACAAAGTCTATTAAACAAAAATAAAAGTGTTGCAATCATCAATTTATTCAGCAATAGGACATCTCCCATCGCAACGCGGCCATCGAGACTGGCCAGAAACAATACACTTCACCTATCGCACCCAACAAAGAACCTATTAACAATATGAGTAATGCACAACTTAGATCGAGTGGCTATCTGATATATGAAACCGACGACGCAGACGGGCTGTTCGTACCATCTAATCTTCCCAATCTTAGACAATTCACTCGCTACTGAAAATAAAACTTTACTACACACCAACAAAGTCAAAACTCAACCGAACCAATTATAGGATTGCACACTTTTGAAAAAATTAAAAGAAAATAAAACTAATCTTCGATTTACTTAATTGAAACCGTGAATCATAAACGTTCGTTAACGAAAATTTCTGACAGCCGATTACTAATTAATAATTGTGTTTGAGTATTTAATTCGATTATTATTTAAATAAAACGACTGTGAAATTGTTTTAGAACCAGATATTGTGTGAAATATTTTAATTTTATATCGGTTTATGATCAATAAAATGTTAACATGGAATACGGCGTTATGGTGAAAATTTTTAAATATATGTAATAGGATCGTTAACAAAAAACATGAAGGTTATAACTTGCCTGGATTAAAAATACGGAAATAGGATTCGTTATGATAATGACACCTCGATTATTGCGATGAGATGATGTTTTTAATGTGAGCGTTTAAAACGCGGCGTTTCCCCGCCCGTGTGCTGCCTCCCACTCTCCACCCATCCTCTGAAAATGGAGCGACCGATAAAAAAGGTAACGAATTATAAAAAAGCGGAGGCGCACAATCGCGAGCGCGGACGTGTGGGCGGTGGGCGAAATGAAATGAAATAATGAAAAAAATGGGCAAAAAGCAGTACAAACATGCATTGTCCTCGCCACCACCCCCCCTTAATGAGTGGGTGCGGGGAAGCGGTCACCCCACCGTACGCGCAACGTGTGTCTGAAGTGGCTGATTATCACCTGATTCCATCTGCGTCAATTGTTGTCCCGCTAAATAGGTCGCGCCGTTTGTACTGCAAATACGAACTTGAGTTTAGAATGTAGGTATGTGTGAGTTGAAGATCTTTAGTGGTCTTTGTGACCATGGAAGGCTCTGAAGCCAGTCTTGGTTAACAAAGGATGAGAGATGGATGAACATTTTTCGTTAATGATTCAAGGAATGTTCTTAACAGTTATCGGAAGAATATGTATTTTAATTTTGTGTACGTTACCTGCAATACCGAAGAGTTAAAGTAAGGCGTAAACATAATTTAAACTTTTTTAAACACACTTTTTATCATAATGGTTCGATGCCCGTTAATTATTTGAATTTTCCGAATCCGCTTTTCATTAAGATACATTGCGATCGTAAAACAAAGAACAAGCGCAATATAATCAAACCGGCATCGCATGTAACTCAATAACTCCCTACCCAAAGTTTTCTTTTCACCCGATTGGTCTCACACGAAAAAAATCCCAATTTTCGAACATATTAACCATCAAAAACAGCGTCCGAAATTAATTTGTTTATGCGAAACAAAGGTGGGTGCCGGGCGCATGCACCCGCGTCACCCACTCCCCGAAAAAAAAGGAAAAAAATAGGAAAAAAGGGGGGAAAACGGGGTTCCCACACCCCTCCCGCGGCGCGATCGGCATCAGACTTCTTTTTTTAATCGCGTCGCATTCAGCATGGTCGTTTTTGGTAAGCACACACTGCGCATTGCCTATTTTCCAATTTAGATTGCTTTGTATTACCGGTTGAGCGATGCGCAATAGTTTTTGAGGCTCGTGACACGTGAGTGCAGGAAATTAAATTTCTGTGTAAAATAAAAACAAAGGGAAACCGGGGTTTCGGGGTACGTCAGCTTAACGCTAGCGACGGACAATCGCGGGTAAGAGTAGCATTTTCTTCTCCTGGAATTCACTTTTACCCCTTTTACTTGACCTCTTTTCAACATACATCGTCCACAGAGAATACGAAGACATGTTTTGTTTGTAGTTTTGATAAGTCAACGTCACTTATAACATTCTTCGCTTTTCTTGGGCAAAAAATTCTTAAGGACTCTCCACACATGACGCTGTCCCTAATGTCCATGTAGAATAACAACCACGTACTAACTATTGATCAATCATCCTTTCTGTGTCTGTTAATCTTGATTTATTCAGTAAAATAACATTATTTACTTATTTATTTGTACCACATAGGCTAAACTGGTTACAAACACAGATGCAGTTTAATCGATAGACTGTAAATCAGTCTGAATCTAGGTACACAAGACATAAAAACGGACTCATAATAATCAACTAATTAAACAACTGTCTTAATTGCAATTATCCTTTAAATTAATTGAACAAACTGTGCCATAATTCCATATCGATATTGCCATAAGATTTCAAAACTATCATTCACGGATCAATTATAACAGTATTAAAATTAAATATAATTAACGAGGTACAGCCTGTAGACCAATAAGTCAGTATCAAAATTCCTTGATAATTAGCGCAGCAAAGCAATAAATATTGCCAAGACGATTATTAAGCGGCGAGTACTAATCACAAGAAGTTTATAGTGACACCCCATAGACTAGAGACGTTGCTCAAATTATAGAGGACTCTGTTATTTGTGGTTTATCTGTTATGAGTTCCAAATTCAAACATGGTGGAATTCGATACGATATTTTTTTTATTATTATAATTTTTTTGAGATTTGAAATTGGAATTAATTTGCAATATTTAAAATGAATGTTTGAATTATGTTTGTTGAATATTACCTGTTTTTAACTGTTTTTCGTGGAATAATGTTTTAATAAGGTATTAATAAAAATGAAATGTTTACATTAATTCTAGGAGTTTAATAATTTGGTAGTTTTGGTTCCAATACAATTAATATGTTTATAGAAAATAAAATTCCATGTAATTTTAAAATGGCCGCCACACTATCACGATAACGTTTAGGTACTACATACGAAAACTCATTAAAAATTGAAAAAACATTTATATGTACAGTACCTACATATTGGCCGTATTTAAGCCATAGCCACAACAGTAATTCACCTTATCTTATTCAAAATATACCAAGTCCACAGCTAACCAAGTGGCAGTTTCCACGCCTCAAGCAACGCCAGTTTTCTGCACCCTTCCATATAATTAAAATGCACACTTACTTACTTTGTGTAATTAGAGAACACAAAGAAATGCTTCGGTATAGATAGTATCACTCTGAACAAAGTACCATGAAGTTATTAATGATAGGAAAGTGCCCCATAAGTGCTATTGTAATTAAGTATTAGGACGTGTACGATTTGAGATATCATTATGAAAGTTCTGAATTGAAAACTTCTTTAACGGTGATAACTTTGATGATAAAAAATGTAGGTTTAGACTATTTACAAGTCGTGGTGGTCCGGAGGTTTAAGATGCCCGCTTCTCATGCATGAGGGTCCGAATTCGATAGCTACCAACGGAAAGTACTAATGTGACTTTTTCCGAGTTACATATACTTTATAATAATAATATTTAGACATCACTGACAAACGGTGAAGGAAAACATCGTGAGAAAAACTGGGATTATAATTTCTGATTATAAGTTTGAAATCGCCAACCCGCATTGAGCAAGCGTGGTGGTTAATGCTCAATATTCTCTGTGTGAGAAGAGGCTTTGCTCAGCAGATGGGCATATATGTATAAGCTGTTGATGTGTGTATGTGTATGTATAAGTAGGTGCATAACATTATCTTATTCTATTATATAAAAAGGATTTGTTGTTCGTTTGTGTCATTAAAACTCGAAAACGGCTGAACCGATTTGGCTAATTTTGGTCTTGAATTATTTGTGGAAGTACAGGGAAGGTTTAAAATGTGAAAAAGTATTTTGACGCAGTATAAAGTTTACCGAGTCATAAATATAATACATTTAAAAGTATAAAACATCTTATAGAACTTCTTAGTTTAATCGACAAACGCTAATCAATTTTAAGTCGCGCTTTAGTATAGTTCTGTCTCTACAAATTCTTTATAAAATAACAGAGATGGAACGATATTTAAGTACAACAAGATTGAGCATTCTTTCAGTGTTTGGGCGAAAGAGGTTTTGTATATTATGACGTCATTGCTAACTAAATCTTAACAATAACTTACTTCACTATAACTATTTTAGATAAATTTCAGGTTTTATACTTATACTTAAAAGTTCAACATGTTTTCTTCTAATCTTGACTGTTATTTGTGATAGTTTCTTTTCACTATAGGTTATATAAATATCTTCAGAACGATCGAGTGTTGAAATTGATACATCAATGGCAAAGCATGAATGACGAAAGCAATGAAATCGCAAGACCTAGCAAGTCTGTTATTGCAAAAAGTTGTTGTTGATCGAAAACAAAACCTACAAATAACACGCAAAGTCCATAATTGAGTAGCATTCCCCCAGTAATATAGCTGATCACCTAATACTTACTGCTGAGTTACTCCAAAGCGGTCCCCTCTTTGTGGCGTCCTCTACTCATTCCTTTGAAAACCGACTAAATCGTCACGCCAGTGTTACTCGGCCAACCTTCGGTTACTGTAATGATCCTCATATAAGGAGAATAGACAAACAACCTGGAATATTGCTGGTAATTAACCATGAATGAAATGTTACAGAAGATTTTTTTAAACTATTGCGGTACTAGCTGTTGCCCGCAACTCAAACTCGAACTCAAAAGCGTTGTCTCTCACTTGTTAAAAGTAACCCATGGTTAATTTGAAAAAGAAATCAAACACAAATTCTTCAATACATATTCGACACAACTTAAACTTTACATAGTCCGTCTTTTTACAACAGTTCGATCTATTTTTGGACAGCCCTATCCTATTAAAGTCAAAGTCAAAGTTAAGTCAAAGTCAGAGCATTTATTTCAATTAAACCATAATTTGGTGCTTTTGAAATGTCAACCAATACAAAATAAATAATAGTCTGATAGTCAGTCCGTTAGTGAAGCTAGGTGAAGCTAAGTCCAAAATGTATATTCGAATGGAGAAGAACGAGCAAGAAACTCCATACGTTAATCTATTTAAAAAAGTATGTTCTACAATGTCTCAAATGAGTAAACCTTTAAAATTCAACGATCTTCAAAATCTATTCGCAAATCTGCCAGTATGAAACATTCTTAAAGGGCTGGATGGGTAAGTGTACGTTTACGAGGAATATAAATGTGTATCATTAATCAACGTAATTAGATCATTGCCGGGATCG